GTAGTTTTCTTTTTTTAAAAAGTACTTTAAGCTGTATAAATAATGTAAAATTAAATTGATTTAAGCAGCCAATCATACGAATGTCTGGCTATGATATGTACATATATACATACTTGCTAATTAAAATATGCTTACATACTAATTATAAAAACAAAATATGTATGAATTACTGTATAATAATATGACTAAATATAGTAAATTTTTTGAACCATATTTAGTAAGAGAAGACGAAAAGCTTATTACTGGTTAATACTTGTTTTCTTCAACCAAATAGATGTCTATCCATTACTTCATGTAAGCAATAAAAGGTTATGCAAGAGCATTATACTTTTAATCATCACATTTCATTCATCACTAAAAATTTAATTTTATATTTTATTATAAAAGTTTTTATATAAGCTTAAACACCCTAAAATCATTATGGAATCTAAAGATGAAGCTAAGAGAAGAAATCATGAACGAATGGCTTTCTGTTGTAAAAATCCACATTTGCGAAGTTTACAGAATTTAAAAAAAATAACATGCTAAAAAAAAAAAGAATTCAAACTCAACTTATAAAAGAACAGCAAGCTAATAGTTTGGGCATTCCTTTATGCTTTATGGAAATGAATGAAGAATTTGAAAAAATTAACCAACAATATAATACATGGCCCCAACCTATTAAAAAAGAAATAGCTAAAGATGCCCTAGCTGAATTTCAAGATAAGGTAGATCTTAATAAATTGCGTGAATTACTATGTGCAATTTGCTCAGGCATTTGTAATTACAAGCATTACAAAAAATTTCTGTGCAAGAAATTGATCTTTCTTTAATCAAAACACTGCTAGACCTTACTGATCCATCATTTGAGATTAATTTCAATTATGATCATCCTTACATTACTGCTAGTGGACTAAACATTCTTCTTGATCGTTCTGGATTTATATATCCACATGAATATTCTAATAATTCTGATAATTCTAATAATCCATTTCAATTGCGAATTTGCCAATCTTGCTATAATTCTTTGCAAAAACATATAATACCACCACTATCATTAGCCAACAACATGTGAATTGGATCCACTTCTACATGTCTTCAAAATCTAACAATTCCAGAGCAACTTCTTATTTCACTGGGATACTCCTGTATGAATCTTATACAAATAACAAAATGAAGACATACACAGCACAAACTTAAAGGACACGTAATATTTCCTCAAAACCCAAGTTCTTTAATTAATGTACTGCCCCTACCTGCATATAAGCTTTGTGAATATATAAAGGTTGTATTTGTTGAAAAAAGAACTCCTACTCAACACCAACTTAAAAAAGTGCTTCAAGTCTGAAAAAGCAAAGTGACAGCAGCTCTTCATTGGCTTTTTGCCCATAATAAATTATTTAAAAACAAACTTAAACTTGATTTAAATAATTTAAATAATCTACCTGAAGGAGAAATTCCTGAAGCTTTAACTCTAACAACTACTGTTGTTGATATTGACTCATGAGAAACAGAACATTATACTGGTTATAATTGTGATTCTTCATTAAATTAACAAGAATCTGATAGCGAAAATAACAGTGAAAATGAAGAGTTATGCAATATTTTTTTAAAAAATAATTTTATTAATAATGCAAATGAACTAAGACCTTCTGGAATAATAAATGTTGATGATTTACCAATTACTATAAAAGAGCTTACTTTGCTCTCTTTTCAAAAGCTTATTGATAAACAATATCACCTTGATTATAATTCAGTTGAAATCAATTCTAATTTGAAAAATAAACTAACACAATCACATATATTAAGTGTGTCCCATAGTAATAGACCCTTGAATGAATATAAAGATTCAACTCTTTTTCCTGCAGGATTTCCAGTTCTCTTCCCATATGGTGTTAGTGGTCATGAAGGTCAATTAACTTATATCTTATTAAAAAAATATGCTGATCACCTTATGCAGCACCATGATCCAAAATTTCAATAGCACAGGTCATTTCCTTTTGTTATTTTTAATATTTTGCAAAGACATGAAGTATCAACTGAATCTTATAATTTAACAAGAAATAATAGTTTTAATCAGTCAACAAATTTAATATCATCACTAAAACCCAATAATATTAATATTGCTATTGAACAAATACAGAATAACCAACTTATTAGCAATCTTGCTATTATTGAATTACTCAAAAATGTCAACTCTGCTGGCTCTAAACTAATGGCTTCTCATCAATCACGTTCACATATGCGTAATAAAATACATGCTATTATAATGCGAGATACTACACCATCATTATTCATAACTATAAATTCTGCTGATCTTCATAGCTCTATTGTTATGATGTATGCCGGAAGTGAAATTAATTCTCAAGACCTTGCACCTAATAACTTTCCAAAAGCTTCAGAAAGAGCTCAACTTGCACATCTTGACCCTACAGTTGTTGCTAAATATTTTGTTATTGTTATTCAAACAATTATAGATACTTTAATTGGATATAAAAAAAAAATAATGGTATATTTGGATCAATTAAAAATTATTATAGTGTTGTAGAATATCAAGATCATGGTATACCACATTGTCACATGCTTATTTGGCTTCATGGAGCTTATAACCCATTATTATTATGGCAAAAACTAAAAAATAACAGTGAATTTAGTCAAAGCCTTTTAAAATATGTTAATAGTATTATTAAAGAAGATATCAGTTATCTTTTAAAAAATGAACTTATTACTGATGATATAATTAAAGCTGAACATGTAGCTCCTAAAACAATACTTGAAAAGCGAATGCATCTATCATTTCTACCAATACCTAATCCTAAATTAGCTAATTTTGAAGAAGAATTTCATTTGGATTTACTTGCAATTTGTAAACATACTCTTTTTTATCATTGTACCCACACTTGCAAGAAATATAACCATGGTATATATAAAAATTGTCGATTTGACTTTCCTAGAGAACTTATAGATCCACCTGGTATAATTTTTCCTGAACAAGGCATAATTGCAGTTCAACGTACAAGTGCTTTTATAAACAACCATAACCCTTATATAATAGCCACATGTAGAAAAAATAATGATATTAAATTTATATCTATATGAAAACTTGCTTTGGCTTATATTCATTATATTACCGATTATATTACCAAATCAGATATTAGTACACATAGCTCTTTTTTAATTTGTGCTTCTACATTAGAAACTTTTTTAACTAATGTGTCTAATGAAATTTCATACAACTATGTTGACAAATCACGTAAACTTGTAACAAAATATCTTAACAAAATGGCTAGACAAATGGAGCTTACAAGTCCACAAGTCTTTGCTTACCTATTAGGTATTCATGATCATTACTCTCCAAACAAATTTATATCAATTCATCTTCAAACTTTTGAGTTTTATCTAATGAAAGAATAGGCAAATCTTCATCAATTTTCAAATAACATTGAATCAGATAGTGAATTTGAACTAGAAGAAGAAAGCAATTAGAATCTATTGTCTAAATCATTTTTAATATCATCTTATAATGGCAAATTAACTGCTGTAAACCTTCATATTGATTATCAGTTTTGAGATAAATCATTACACAATATTTGCCTTTATGACTATGCATTACTTATTAAAAAAATACTTATAAACTCTCATGAACTTTCTATAATATCAAATCAATCTTCAAGAGAAAACAAATATTATTGTGATCGTTTTTTTCTTCTATGGTAGTGAATTTGATTATAATATTATTTATAGTTCCATTAATATTCATCCTCAATGTAAAACACATATTCAATTATATAGAAAAAAAGGTTTAGAGATGATAGTTTTACTATGTGGCAAAGGGTTATTTAAAAAAAATGATACAGAAAATGCTGAATGCTATAGTTTATTTATTCTTATGCTATTTAAACCTTGGGAAACTATTCAAGACCTTCTTGAAAACTATGATTCTTGGGCAAAGGCATGTCAAGCTTTTTTAGATAGTTCTTACTTATCTCCTCGCTTAAAATCTATAATTTATAATATAAAATTATTGTATAAATGTTCCGAAGAGACAGCACTTGATCGAGAACTACGTAAAAATGCACTAAAAGACCCAATTCTTGCAAAGGCTCATCGTATAGATCGTTCTGACCCTGGATATAATACTTATAATGAACTAGACCTTTCTGATAATGATGAACTACCAATAAATAATACTCTTAGTAATAATATACTTGAATTTAATCCTGAAGCAATTATCAGATCTGGTTTAAAAACCATTAAAATGGTTGATTCTGCTATGAGGTTCTTACGAATTTGAAACAGATTTTCTTCAAAAAAATTTTCATTATTAAGTAATACAAATTTTGCTAATAATAATCTTGAATCAGAAACTATACATTCAAGCAATGCATATGATAGTGGTCTATTAAAAATTTGGCAAAATACAATCTCTTTTTGAAAATTAACTTCACAAAATAATTTTAATATTAATCTTGAAGCAAATAATACACCCATGAACACTAATATAAATCTTCAGCATAATTATAAAAATACCCCTCTAAATATTACTGTTACAAAAAATACTAATCCCTTGGAACAATTTGCATCTGGCTTAAATGAAGAACAAAAAAAAGCATATTTCTTGTTTTGTGAACATCGACAAAAAAATAATCAAATAACAAAAAATAGTCTCTTACAATTATTACTTTACTTTACAGGTGCAGGTGGAACCGGTAAATCTAGAGTTATTCAAGCAATATGCTCATACTTTGAATATACTTTACAAAGTGACAAACTAATAGTTTTAGCTCCTACAGGAATTGCAGCAGTAAATATATGTGGAAATACTATTCATTCTGCATGTGGCTTTGGTTTTAATGAAGGTGGAAATAATTATTCTAATTTTTCTAATGAATATAAATGCCAGCTTCAAGAATGTTGGTCTAAAATAGAATATGCTATCTTAGATGAGCTCTCTATAGTTGGGCAAAACCTTTTAGCACAATTTCATACTTTTATAAAAAAAATCAAATTTAATAATGACTCAACTCCATTTGCTAGAATAAATATATTATTTGCTAGAGATTTTATACAATCACCACCTGTATTAGATAAAGCATTATATACACCTGATAAAATTACTTGTTTTACTTCGGCTGAATATAGTTCTTCAAAAAGCAAAAAACGAAAGTACAATATTAACTTATTATTAATTAATTCTCGAACTGTCACCAACACAACAGGAAGAAGTCTTTGGCTAAATGTTAAACATGCTGTCCAATTAAACATTTTAATGCGTCAAATAGATAACCCTTTTTATACAAACATCCTTGAAAATATGTATCATAGTAATCTTACTGAAACCCAAATAGCAGCTTTATGATCAAGAATTCTTGGAGATGATATAATTAACTTTAAAGAATAGAGATATGCTACCTTTCTTGTAACACAAAATGATCTTCGTGTTTAACTTAATTTTGAAGCTATTAAAGAACATGCCTATGATAACAACCAGCCTATTATTTACTTTTGTGTACAAGATTCTTATAATCGATAACTTCTTATTGGAAATAACTATTTAAAATTTTTATCAACACAGGACACTAAGAAAAATACACTTTGTGAAATTTTACAATCAATATAAAAGTTGTTTTAACAATCAATATCTGTACTAATAATAATCTCACAAATGGTTCACTAGAGATTTTTCGACAAATTGTGTATGATAAATGTTTAATTGACATATCATTTTCACATGAAAATAGTATAGTGCTAAAAACTCCTCCAAAATATGTTATTATTGAATTAATTGATAAAACATCTGGAACTTATAAAACACTTCCATCTAATTATGTACCAATTTATTCTATCAAGTGTGTCTGTATATATACAATTTGGAGACTTGATAGATCTAAAATTCAAAGAAACTTTCAACATTTTCAACTTCTTTTAACACCTGCATATGCATTTACTAACTTTAAATTTCAAAGACATACTCTTAAAAAAACAGTTGTTGATCTATTAGGAAAACATGCAAATAATAGTATATATGTAATGCTTTCCAGAACACAAAGATTAAGTGACTTATTAATTTTACAACATTTAATAAATCAATTTTAAATATGCAACAATCTTCTGCACTTTATACAGAATTTGAACATATTAAAGAATGTACACAAAGAACAATTAAGCTAAAAACTTGGCCAGATAATTAATACATTTTTTCTTCTATAATAA